AGCTTAAGTTTTAGTAACGTGCTCAGTGAGGGTAAACTGGAACCTGATGCTTTTTGTTGTTGTTGTTGTTGTTTATGGAAGAGTTAATTGAGGGCTCACAGTCTGAGAGGGTGAGTCTGACCATCGTGACAGGGAGCATGGCCCTCGGCAGGCAAGTATGGTACTGGAGCTTACATTCTGGTCACAAGCAGGAGGCAGGCAATTGCCACTTTTAATTTAATCATGCCTTCTTTGTATGGACTCTTGTCTGTTCCCTTTTAATGTAACATTTGCATACCTAGTTTGTTGTTGTTGTTGTTGTTGCTGTTGTTTTGGCTGTTTGTTTATTCAAGATAGGGTTTCTTTGTGTAGCTTTGGAGCCTGTTCTGGCACTCACTCTGTAGACCAAGCTGGCCTCGAACTCACAGGGAGGGATCCACCTGACTCTGCCTCTGTACACCACCACCCAGTTCATACCTCCCTTCTCGATATTTAGTCATGTTATATGATGAAACTTTAAGAAATACATAATATGGAACTTTGTCACTACAAACAAAATAAAAATTTAAATTTTTCAAATAACTACATAAGGATGGGTTTTATGCATAGTCTGACTGCATAGCAGTTTTTAGAACATTGGACAAGTGATCTCATGTACCTCTTAACTTTTACAAAAAGACATAGATTTGGAAAAACTAGGTAGCTTACTAAGCCAGGACTGTAACTATATGTGTGCTGGATTACTTAGTTCTTTGGATGTTTTTGTTGTTTGTTCATTTGTTTAAATGTGTTTAAATTTTGCCTGCTTGTATGTCTGTGCACCAGCCACTAGAGTGTCTGGTCCGCTTGAAGGCCAGAGGGCTTCGAATCCCCTGGAACTGGAATTACAGACAGTTATGAGCCTTAGTGTAGATGCTGGGAATCAAACACAGGTCTTCAACAAGAGCAGCCAGTGCTCAAAATTCTGAAACCTCTCTCCAGTAATTAGTGGCTGGCTTGGAACTGACTGTGTGATTCTGGCTGGCCTGGAACAAACTTTTAGCTGTCCTGCACTCGCCTCTTAAGTACTGGAATTACAGACATATGCCACCATGTCCACTTTAAACAGACTCATAAGAAAAAAGACAATTCAACTTTGGATCATTTGGCAAATAGTATTATGTGAATTCTGTTTAAGCCATTTAAGTTCTTATTTCATAGTTGGGATACTTACTCCTTACATCATTTATGCCTCAAAAATCATTGACTCTCCGTTATTTATGTTGGTTATTACTGGAGTATTTAAAGAATAGTATTAACCAAGTATGGTGGCTATCATCTGTTATCCTACCACTTGGGACTGGAGGTAAGGAGGGTTATGAGATTAAGGCTGGCCTGTGCTACAAGGTAAGACCCTGTTTCGAACAAAACAAAACGAACAAAGTTTATGGAGCAAATTTTCTACTTTCATTTGCTACATAATTTGGGCAATAGAAGGTACTTGGCAGCAGTAAAAAGGGAATAACAGGGGATGTATGCTGGGCTACAGATGGGACTTAGAATCTGAAGTTTGGACTGTAAGTGGTTATGAAACAGACTATTATTGACTGCAAAGACTGCAGAACATTGGTGAGTTCTTGGCTATAAAGCACAGAATGACATGAGCAAAGACATGAAGAACCAGGACTATTCCTCTCCTGTCAATTAAATGTCATGTAAGAAGTCATGGGAGTAGTGGTGGAATGTCATCCAAAGATACATGTTTGAGTAGATTTAATGAAGCAAGATTTGGAGTAGTATGGCATTAAAACAGGACCCAAACGTGTTCTGTTGGTGATTTCCTGCTATTAGTTTTGTCAGGCTCAGGTGTATAGTAGCTAAGTGAAGACCAGAAGAGTAGAATGGAAGATGGGAGATAACAGACTTAATGACTATTAGATATGGATTCAGGGAAGAAGTACTTAATCATAGGATAGGAAACAAAACAGATTTTTGTAAAAATTAATTTACATGTTTTGGAATATGTTGGCTAATAGAGAAGTTTCCAAAAATCAGCTGCCTGGGTGTGCTCTGTCATTTTTTTTTTTGTAGTGCTAGACGTTGAACCTAGGGCCTTGTGCCTGTTCAGCAAGAACTCTGTCACTGAGCTGCACCCCAGCCTCTTCAGTTATTTTTAACTCTACCTTTCCTATTGCAAGAATTCTGGTAAGAGCGTGGTCACCTGTTGTTACCTCTGCAGGTGCTTTGGGGTGAGTATTTTATGTTGGACCAGTCATTTTTTTTTTTTTTTTTTTTTGCCTGTTGATAACATTTTTAGAACAGTTACTGTGAAATTGGTATTATACAAACTATATTTTACTAAAACTTTACTTTTTCTGTAATTTCTATATGAAGTGGACATTATTAGCATCCCTATTTATATATTGAGAGTTAGAAATTTAATTTTTTTTAAAAAATAGAAATTTAACAAATGTGTATTGTAGGTATATGCTTCTGTCCTGTATGTCGCTCCCAAATAACTGACACTGAGACTTAATATGAATTATAAATGCCTGGTCAGTAGCTCAGACTTGTTACTAGATAACTCTTATATTTTAAATTAAGCCATATTTCTTATCTGTGTGTTGCCACGTGGCATAGTATCTTTTCTCAGTACAGCATGCCCATCTCCCTTCTCTATCTGCTGGTGACTCCTCTGACTCTGCCCTTCTTCCCATCATTCTCAGTTTGACTTTCCTGCCAGCTTCTGTATTAAACCAATCACAGCATCATGTGTTCACACAGTGTAAAGTAATATTCCACATTTTACCCTTACACGGTGTGCAAAGGGTTATTCCACAGCAGTTTATTGATAAGGAAACTTCCTTCTTCCAGACCCTCATAATAAAGCTATATTTCAGGGACTGGCTGAAGAAGAAACAATTCAGTGATTTTTTATAACTCTGAGTTAAACTACACAAAATTGTCTTTGCAAAGTCTTAATAAGACAATATTAAACACAACAAGTAATTTTTGTGGTGGTGTTAAGGATTGAAGCAAGGGCCCTGTGCATGCTAGGCAAGTATTCCACTAATAAACTTCATTTCCCGCCTACTAAATGTGTGTTGGTTAAACATGACAAACTTTAATCTTTTGGGTTTTTCAAGACAGGGTTTCTCTGTATTGCTTTGGAGCCTGTCCTGGAACTTGCTCTATAGACCAGGCTGGCCTCGAACTCACAGATCCACCTGCCTCTGCTTCCCGAGTACCGGGATTAAAGGCGTGAGCCACCAAGGTCTGGCGACAAACTTCAGTCTTGCTTACACAGAATTTTACATTTCCCATTTTGTGCCTAATCTAAACTGTGGGACCGAAGGGGTTGAAAATAAAACCTTTCCATTACCAGACACAGCTGTGGTGCTATGAAGCTGTTTCGTGGCCACCTAAAAATTAGCTTCCAGGGTTGAAGTAACAGGTTGAGATAGAAACAACTTAACTTGCCTGTTTGGTGGTGGAGTGTGAATTTAAGACCTTGAGTGTGAGAGATAAACTACCCACTACTGCACTACATACCCAGCAGAGAGAAGGGGTCTGTGGAAATGTATGATTTTAGGAACAGGTTCTATGATGGAAGAGAATGTCTGAGATAGGAACTGAGTAATCTTGCTCTGACTGTAGACACTTAGTCCCCTCAGAGTGTTACTACTGCAAAGCTGGTCTACCCGGTTTTTTTGTTTGTTTGTTTTTAAACAAAGATGGTACACCACTTCAATCAGATAGTCTGAATTTTGTCTGCTGCCCTATAGCTGGCTTGAGGACATACATATTTTTACGTTGTGGGTAGGTGTCACCAGTCAAAATCTTTCATTTTTTCTGACAGCCTCTTTGTTATTAGGCATTACTAGATACTTTTTGTATTTATGCTTATATTCATGGACTGGCTACAAATTGTTTGCTAAGAACTGATTGATGTATGATTTTAGAACATGTTGATTCTCCTTGAGATCTGACAGGAAAGAAAACTTGTAAGTTCAGTCTTAAAGAATTGAAAGGTGTTTATTCTAAGACAAGGTCTTCCTGTGTAGCCCTAGCTAGTGTGTAATTCAATATTTTACTATATAGACCAAGCTATCCTCAAATCATGGAAATCCACCTGTTCCTGCTGTTATTAAAGGCATGTATCATCACACTTGGCTTTTAGAATGTTCTGTACATGAACATGAGTAAAGATGGCCAGTAAGTGTGGGAAAGAATGGTTTTTTTTTGTTGTTGTTGTTATGAATAACAGGGGCTATTATGTAGCACACACTGCTAGTTCATGCAGACGCAGTTCTTTCCAGTGGGCTTTTAGAGATGGGTTTGTAGTCAGTTGTTTTTATGTCTTTTTGGAGACAAATTATAACTAGGGGGTTAACAGACATAGTGGTACATTTCTGTAATTCCAACATTCCTCAGGCTGAGGCAGGGAGAGATCACAAGTTCAAGGTTAAACCCTGTCTCAAAATAAGCAAAATGTAAACATAATTAGGAAGAAATATGTTTCCGGTATTGTAACACTGTTACTAATTCAGTACTTAGAGATGTTATTTTTGCATTGTTTTCTCTCTAAACACTCCCCTCAACATTTTCTCTGCACATCTGCAATATTTTATTTATTGGGGGGTGACAGGAGACCAAGATTGTACCTGAGGCTGGCCTGGAATTTACAACAGTCCTCTTACTTCAGTCTACCCAGTGCTGAAATTACAAGCATGACTCATCACATCTACCTGTGCTTGTGTTGTATATATTGTTCTTTTACAGCATTATTAGCCTTACTAAAAACTATCCCATGTTTTCTTTCATTATTTACACTAGAAGAATGAATAACCACAATGTTTATTATTAATGGTGATAGCAAAGTATCTTTTATATACTTTAAATACATTGGAAAATTGTTTCTTTTTGTAGGGAGGGATTGAGACAGGGTCTTTGTGTATCTCTAGATGTCCTGGAACTCACTAGACCAAAGTGGCCTTGAACTTGAAGAGAAATTTGCTGATTTCCTTAACACCAGTCTTTATTGTATCCTATGGGTATCTGCACTCATGCTAGTATGTTCAAGGGACAGTGCAATAGAAATTCACTATCTGGCATTGTAGGCTTTGTTCTCCGCTTTGTAGATTTTTTGGCTTTGTGTGCTTGTTAAACCTGGTATTTCCATTGATGCTGTTTTAAAGAAAAAAAAAAAGTGGGTTTTCTAGTATCATTACTGAATTAAGGAAGATAAAATAAAAATCTTTGCTTACCCTCACAAATACCATTTACTTTCTAGAAAGGTTACAATTATTTGTTATACATTGATATCTTTAATATGAATGTTGAATGTGATTAAAATGATTTGCTACTTTTTATGTTTTATTCTGGAAATTACAAACTATAAAATATTTGGTGAACCTTTTGTATCATTACTTGTTGTAGGTTATCATTCAATATCAAATATTTATCTACCTTTCAACAAAGTTTATTTCTGCTAACCTTTCTTGTTTTCCTTTTTTCATCACTTGTTTTCCTTAGACTAATAGTTTAACTCAAGTATCATCCTACCCATTAGTTTTGCAGAGCTTATTTTGTTCTAACTACAGTGCCTGCCATTATCAACCAAACAAAAGCAGCTTAATTATGTGTGCATCTGGTATGCATTCTGGTGCCTATGGAGGCCAGAGGCAGTTGATCCCCTTGGAGCTTGAATTAGTGGCCACCACCCAATTTGGTGCTGGGACCTGAGCTAGGGTCCCCTGGAAGAACAGCAGTAGGAGCTCTTAACCCTGAGCAAGCTGTCTAGCCTCCAGCTTATTAAAATTTTAAACATTGTTTTTGGATGATGGAGGCTTGTACTAGGAATCAAACTAAAGACCCCTTGCACTCTGATCAAGCATTCCATAGTAACAAACTTCCAGCTGAAATTCTTGCTCAGGCTTAGATTTTTATATTTATCTAAAAACTGGCTGTTATTAGTTGCTTCAGTCCCCCCCACCCACAGGGTGGGTCTATACATGCATTTATTATTTTTTAATTTATTTTAACTTATTAAAAGCTTCCTTTTATTTTGGAAACAATTTGTTGAAGAAACTAGGTTGATGTCCTAGGGAATGGTCATCATTCTATATTCAGTTGATTGCTTTCTTACAATGATTAGTTTTTATACGCATATACTGTATTGCTGGTAGGTGTGGACTCTAAATTTTGTGGAGTAGGCAAGAAACCATAGGTTACTGTGTCCAGTTAAATTATTTGAGATTCTTACATTAGCGTGCCCTGCCTAGAGTGAGTGCCAAGTGATCTCTGTGGTCATATCTTCCGGCCTTCCTTACCCATTAGGAGGATCTGTCAAAATTTCCCTGATTGTTTTAATTAATTAGTTTATATGTGTATTGCATTTACGTGCCACAATACATATGTAGAAGTCAAAGGACAACTTTGGAGTCAATTCTCTCCTACCTTTACATAGTTTCAGGGGTTGAATCATGTTGTAAGATCTGTTGATGTACATCTGTTAGTTCAGTGTGAGGTGACTATTCCTGTATTTCATCTGCACCATTGTTGGTGGGGCTTTTGCTGTTGTTTCTTTCTTTCTTTCTTTCTTTCTTTCTTTCTTTCTTTCTTTGAGACGGGTTCTCTCTGTGTTGCTTCAGAGCATGTCCTGTAGACCAAACTGGCCTCGAACTCACAGAGATCCACCTGCCTCTGCCTCCTGAGTGAGTGCTGGGATTAAAGGCATGTGCCACCACTGTCCGGCCCATTGTTGGTGTTTTTCAATGTAAGTGTTCTGTGTGTTATCAGCTAGTGGGTTATCTTGAATCACATTTCATGTAAGAAAGGTAAAAGCATAATTTTTATAATGGGTTCTGAAACTAGTTTACCAAGATGTTTTATTTATTTTGATTTTTAAATACATGTATTTGTTTTGTGTATATGGTCAGAGGACACACAGCTTAATGTCTGTGAGAGACAGAGGACAATATGTGTGAGTTGATTCTCTCCCCCACGTGGGTCCTGGGACTCATCCTGGGATTAATCTTGGGTTGTCAGGTTTGGTTGCAGGTGCCTTTACCTGCTTAGCTACCTCACTAGCCCCAGGTTTTTTGTTTGTTTTTTTAAGGTATTGTTAGAAACACTTGAGTTTTTGGATTTGAGGCTATTCAGTTTTTGTAATCATTTTTTAAATGGTTAAACTGTGCCAATGAAAGCCATTATGATGTTGGTTGGTTTCTTTGCCCTTTTGGCATGGCCTTAGTTTTTCTTGCTCTCTGGTGCATTCAGATCTTCTCAGCATAGGTGATTGGTACATTTTCTGCTGTAGACTTTTCAGTTCAGTCCGCTTTAGTAGCCCCTTTAGAAACCACAATGGGAATGTTCAGTGAGTTTACCCAGTGCATTTTCTAGAGTTAGGAAAAGCACTGAAGACTGCCCTTCCTCCAGAGACTAACTGAAAGCAAAAGCATGCTGATTCACAGACCCTCGCTTTAGATCAATAGGCACATCCCCAGCTTACAAACTAAGAGAACACTATATGCAATTACAATTTTTACTGTAGCAAAGGATGCAAATTAAAATCAAGCTGTTGCTTACAGACCTATGGCCCAGCAGCTTCAGAAGTCTGCCTGCTCCCTTTTCTCAATTACTCAGTAAACCGTAACTTTTCCTCCTGGCGTCACAAAGTCCTCAGATCCTTTAGAAACATTGGTTACTTGACGCCCATTTGGTTCAAAATCCCAGGGTCCTGGAGATGATTTAATAGATGTCAAGGACAGAGATCAGACCTCTTTTCAGATGAGATTGGTTCTTCATAGCAGTGGGTGCTGTGGGTTCCTAGTGCTGTTTTTGCTGCCTTTGCTTTTATTGTTGCTGAGATAAATACATATCCTGGAAAGAATTGTATTCACTGTTGATAGTAACATTTCCAGAGTAATCTTCCCCCATCTCCCTGTGGTTGAATGAAGACCTTGGGCAAATACCCTACTACTGAGCTACATTTCCAGCCCTTCACTTCTTTATGTATTATGTTGTGTTTTTGTGTTTATTTTTTGTCCACTCTGAAAATGTTGTTTGGTTTTTTTGTTTGTTTGTTGGATTTTGTTTTTGTTTTTTGTTTTTAAATAGCATTAGATATTGAACATGGGACCTTACAGTGCTGGAATTACAAGTAAGTGCCAATTTTCACAGTCCTGGCTGCTATTTTTTAATTAAAATTATGTAGCATACTGACTTGGGTTCAGCTCCTGGGATTTTTATTTGCTGCATTTCTAACTCTCAGCAGGCTAGGTAACTTGTGAATCTTTCTTCATTTGCAAATAGAAACAACAGTAATACTGTTTTACATGATGTGATAAAATGAGCAGTATATGTAAAGCTATTTAGCTTAGTGATTGCAATAGTTTCTTGGTGAGGGCAAAAATTACTAACTTTTTGGATGTGTGGAGAATTAAAAACATTTGTGTCCAAAATTCATGCACTGACCTTTTTTAGACTACAGTTATAGGTGGAGCCTTATTATATGACTTGGTTTTTCTCTGTTGTTCTTGGGCAGGGCAGTTTATGGGCATGTAGAGAGTGAGGGTGCAGATTCAAGAGGGAACTTCTGAGTAAAGCTGCCAGTCTCAGAATTACAACTATCATCGCTTATCAGCTTCCTCAAAGCACCAGTCTTCTTGCTGTAAAACAGTGGATGAAAACATAGGCTTCCGTGTCTGAGTAGATCAGGGGTTGCTTCTCCACTTATCTTTAGAAGCTGTTAGACTTGAGCTAAATAATAAATAGCAAATGCCTGGGACCTATGTGTATAAAATATGAGGGGTTTGTAGGTGAGTCTGTAGCCTTGACTATACAATGGAGTTTATCTGTTTTGTTTTTTTTCTGCTGGTTGATGTTCATAGCAGTTGAGAGGTTGTGCTTATCTTGGTCACTGCAATGCTGTCTAATGTAGTTGTCTGATGAGTTTAGTAGTGAATCTGTGAATGAGTACCTAGCTTATTGGTAGTCAAAGATGGCATGTAAATATAGAGTAGTGAATTATTACTGGCAAAGATATGGTAACCTTGTAAACAGGCCTAAGGAGTATGGATGGGTTAAAAGCAAGTTTGTAGCATACTCTAGCTACGAACTACTTAAATGTTTTGAGCCAGGAATTGTGTGTGTGCTTGTAATCCCAACACTTGGAGTTTGAGCCATGCTTAGGGAGTAGACAGCATACTGAGGCCATTTCTAAACATAAACAAACCAACAAAATTTGAGTGTTTAGTATAGCAGGTTTACTCCTGAAAAAAAAAAACAAACAAAACAAAATCCTCTTTTAGAAATAATCCTAAATACAAGACATGAGTATATATTGTAAGATTAAACCCTGAGGGGTAATAAGTAAATATAGTGTAGTCTTGAGGAGGAGAGCTTTGATAGGTGTTAGTGTTGCTGACTATGAAGCATTTGTGGTAATAAGAAAAATGGTTAAATGAAGGGAAGTGGCTCTAAGATCCATGATGGACTTCATAATGCTACAGAATCTTTTAAATGCTAACAATTACATATTTTCTCTCTTCACAGTGTGATAGCCTACAGGAGACCTTGTCCATTGTTAACTTATAGGCCCATGTATATTACTTGTAGACAACAACTTGCCGTTCCTACTTTGTTTTATTCATTCATCAAAAGACTTGTTACTATAAGTACATTTTAGTCAGTGTTAATAATGTGTTAACTTTACTGTTCTTGTGATAAAATACAATGCCCCCAAACAACTTATTGATGAAAGTGTTTATTTTGGTTTGTAATTCCAGAGGGCTAAGATTCCATAATGATCGTGAGTCATGGGAGCACAAAAAACTGAGGTTATATCTACAAGAGCAACCTGCAAGTGGGGCCACATCATATTCTCAAAGTCCTTCTCCAGTAATGGACTTCCTCTAGCAAGGCTCCACTGCCTAAAAGTTCTATAACCTTCCCCAAACAGTACCACGAAACAGGCACCAAGCGTTCAAATAGGTTTTTAGACAACCCATATGCTCATGGCTGTATCATAAAGCAAAATGTCTTTAATCCAACTTCAAACACCCTGCCCCCCACCCCCTATATTCTTTGTCAGTCTCAACCGTCTACAAGCTCAGAGTCTCTTCTGAGACTTAGATGGCTCAGTCCTTCCAGCTTTGCTATGTCTGCAACATGTAATGTTCCATGTTTT